TTTTGAATATTTTTTTTTGAGATGCAAACAAAATAGGCTCTAGGTTTTTTTTTTTTTTTGTAAATAAAAAAAAACTGATTCAATCATGAGTTTTTTGAAGTAGAGAATATAATGAAAGTTTTTACAATTTACATTCATAAATAATAAGCATTGATCAAACATAAGATTTTTTTTTAGGAGATTCGATCTCAAGATCTTAATATATAAATGTTGTACACCCAATTCTAATTTCTTGACATACTTAGAATTTTAAGTTTTATTTTTATTTTTTTGGCCGGTTAAGAAGAAGGGGTGGGGGTAAAGGAGAGCGCCCAATGACTATCCCGTTAGACCCTTACCGATGGGATCATAAGATCCCTGATCGCACCTAAAACACCTCTTAAGACTAAATTTACTTAAATTAATTTAGCGATCAATAACCAAATTTTAATGAAATTTCAAAACTCAAATTCTCAAACTTCTGAACGAGAGACGTAAGAAGACACCATACCATGACTGGACCACCTAATCGGTGATAGTTTTAATTCAAACGTCCAACATAGCCAGAGGTATTCGAGTCCAAAAACGTGGGTCAGTCTGGCAATGTGATATTGCGCTGTCGGCCACATAATAATAATGACAAGTATATCCTAAAAAAATGGTTATTTATTATTTTTATAATAATTATTTTTATCATTTTTATAATATAATGATAAGAACAAGTTTACGGTATCAAAAAAAAATCGATATCTTATTGTCATTTATCATTTTTTTTTTTGGTTATTTTTACTATTTTTGTGATACTTGTGATTAATCCTAACAAAAACACCTACAAAGGTGATAAATCACCCACAAAAATTATAATTTTTTTATTATTAAATAATTCATAAAAATTAAAAAATATATATATTAATATAATAAGAAGTAGGATATTAAATATATTTTTTATTTTTGGCTACAATAATGAAGTCCAAATAATAATAATAGAGAGTTGCATTTCCAATCGCATCTCAGGCAGCCGACAGAACGTGATCGATCAAAGTGGCAGCCTTATCCACCCCCACGTGGGATTCCTCATCTTCAACCCCTCACCATCATCAGTCTGTCATTCTTTTCCTTTTTTTTTTTTTTTTTGGGTGCATGGAAAAGTACTCATTCTCTTCAAATCATTTCAGGAAACATACCCAATTTTTTTAAAAAAATAATAATTATTTTTTAAGTGTAAAAAAACACAAGAAAAAATTTCAGTTACACCTATTTTAATTTATTATATCTTTAAAAACACCATCTCTATGTCAAATTAAATGTGTTAATTAGAATGTAATTTTACTAAATTACTCGTGATATATTTTAAGAAAAATTTTATCCACACTCTCTCTAAATAGACATATCTTTAATAAGACCTTTTCTATTTTTTAAAATTTTTTTACGTATTAAAATTTGAATTGATTAAAATTTGATTCAAGCTAATTAAAATTTATTTTTTATGTAAATATGAGTCAATTAAAAAATTATATTTTTTTACTTATTAGAATTTTTCCAGATTAAAATTCTATTCGATGTTTAAATCAAATTTTAATTAACTTGCATTAAATTTTAATCGACCTGAATTTTGATTTATTGAAAAATATAAATTTTAATACATAAAAAATAAATTTTAATCAACTTGAATCGAATTTTAATTAATAAAAAAATATAATTTTTAATCCGGGCTAATAGCTTAAATCAGCTCAAATTTTAATACATAAAAATAAAATTTAATCAATTTGAATCAAATTTTAATTGAATAAATTTTAATATATAGAAAAATTAATTTAATCAGCTCGAATTTTAATATGTAGAAAAATAAATTTTAATAAACTCGAATTTTAATCAAATTTTATGTATTTTAGATAATTTATTTTTGTTATAAATGGTGCTTTAATGACAGGAGGTATCAGTGATGTTTAAATATAAACTAAAAATAGTGTCAATGTTTTTTATAATAAAAAAGATGTCTTTAAAGATATAATAAACTAAAAGGGGTGTGACTAAAATTTTCTCAAAACACAAATAAATCTGAATCTACATGAAAAATAAGATAACTCTATGAAATTACATAGGAATATATAAAAATGATCAAAATCTTAATTATCTCTATAATGAAAGTAAAATTCTTAATTATATAAAATCTATAAAAAATAAAAAACTATAATCTAACTAATTAACATAAAAACACTTGTCGTTTGAAATCTAACAAAATTGACGGCACTGAATTCAGAATTTCTTGCTATTTATTATTATTTTTTGAATTCTTTCTTAAAACAAAAAAAAATGAAATTTTGAATGTCTAAACGATAAACTTTGATTTAACATTGATGGAGCTTATAGCAAAACATGAGTCTTCTTCACCGGTAGTTCCATTCAGATCAAATGACACTAATCTTACTTAATTTCGAGTATGCCCATTTTACCTCTACTGTCACTTTTTGCGCTTTTGTTGCACTTTGGATGCTCAACGTTCTTCCCACTCCAAATAATTTGTTGTCACTTGTCCTCATCGCATTCATACAACTATGTGTGCACATAGTATACATGTGTATACACCATCATATATTAAGATTGATCCTGGTTTGAGTAGTCGTGGTATGGGTCCAATTATGGTACCGAAATATAATTTTTTAGTATCGTATCTCTACTTTTTATTCAATGAAAACATGTTAGGCATAACACAAAATCAAAATTACACAACTGAATATAACATGACTCCATTGATACCACATGAGAAACATCTCAACAACATGCCTTGTCAAATTTCAGTAAGAAGGATAAACCAAAATGTATTCTTGTGACAGCCAAACCAACCAATGTGCCGAGGCCCTTATGTGTCTTCCTTTTTAGTACTTGGTGGGTGAAGTGAGAGCCCCTAGCCAGAATCAGCTCAAACCCTTTTGAAACACACACATTGGCCCATCACTCATGTCTTGGCATGAGTAACACCTTCGTTAACCTTGACTTTATACACCAGAGATGCCCATTTCTCATCCTCAAATGCACTTATCTTGAACTTTTTGCCAGGCTGCAAGCCAAGGAACACACTGGAATGACCCAGTTCCCCTGCAAGCAATCATGTGGCCAATGACAAGGGTTATGGGTTGAGGGTTTAGCTTAGAGATGAAACATTATGTGTGTCAACCTAAATATGATACGATTAATAAACATGATGCATTACTATAAAAATAATCGGCATGAGTCATTAAATGGGATTGAATTAGGATTGTCTAAAACTTGACACAAAATCAAAATAACATACATCTGAATATAACACGACTAGGGTTGATAATCGAACTGAGTTTGTTTTTTAAATGAACCTGGAAAATTATTCAAGTTTAGATCGTTTAAAAAATGAGCCAAAAATAAGTCGAACCTGAATCGAACCAAAAAATTATTCAAGTTTAGCTCGTCAGCTCGTTTGGAGTAAAATCTTATACGAGTTGAATCTAAATCGAGCCCAAATAACTCGACTTGATTATCAGCTCTAAACATGACTAGATTCATGCCCATAGTTGTGCATTGTCAAATTTCAGTATGAAGGCTAAACCAAAATCAGGGCCCTCATGTCTGTTCCTTTTTTGCACATAGTAGGTGAACTGAACACACCCTAGCTAGACTCAGTTCAAACTCTTTTTGAACACAACATGTCCCATTACTCATGTCTTGGCATGAATAGCACCTGGTTAACCCTGTCTTTATACACCATTTTTTTAAAATGGTACCCATTCTTATCCTCAAGTGCACTTTCTAAAACATTTTGCCAGGCTGCAAGCATGGTGTTCACTGGAAAGCAATTATGCAGCTGATGAACAAGCCCTAGGGACCCCTCACCTCAGAACAAGGTCTGGCCCAAATTTCTGTCAGGCCAGTTTTCAGGCCAACCCTTATGACCTGAGAGACTCTGCTAGTTAAATGAATGCATGACTCATTGAGTTATGCTGCATCACCTGGCTCATGCAACCAATTATTTTATGTTTGGGGCATATCATAAATTATATTTCCATAAAAAGCATACTCAGTGCACGAGTCGTTTTTTGTCATTGTGGAATTTAAAGAGTGTTAAATGTACACAATCATTCAAACCTGCAACGCAAACCCTACAAGTAAAAAGATTACTTTCGCAACTCAAATCTGCGACCTCCAAATTACAATGAAACAATATCACCGTTACGCCAAGACCTACCCTCATGAATTATATTCCCATGATTTCACCTAATAATACCTTATTTCTCTATATTTTGAAAAATCTACTCCTAATAAATATTTAAATTAAGAAATCAGTATAAAAAACTAATAACACCAATTAAAAAGTGCGTTTAATCATAAGGGAGAGAGAATTTTACTCATCTTTGGGGCTCATGACTAATAATCATTCCTCCCCTGGGTCAATTAGGCACCTCCTTTGAAGTGCATGAAGTTTTATAGCATAATAAGGTCTACCTATATATCTGTCATCTAATCAACAAGGGTTTCAACCAACTCACTGCTTGAAACCCTTAAAAAGCACATGAAATCATAGTTCCCCTGAAATGGGGAACTAACAAAAACCCCATCTAAAATAAATGTACAAAATAAAACAACAGATTGCATATCTTAAGCACATACTGCAATTATGTCTTAAAGATATGCTAACATCAAGCTTTTTAGGCCATATTTTCGCATAACAAAACCAGATCGACATTGCTATGACAGTTGGATCTACCTCAAAAGCAAAACAGTTGATAATTTACAAAAGCATGAGATCATAACATCACCAGATTACAAAATAACAGTACTTGCACCACCATGAAGTACTCCCCGAGAACTTAGAGGACCAAGTCTTCACAAACAGTGGCAACAAAAATTGTAAGTATTTTGTCCATGAGAGGACGAAATGAAGATGTGCAAAACCATATTCACTATCGAGTCAACCACCTAGCTCCCACTCCAACCAAGAAAACTTTCCTGTGATCCGAACTCCTACAGATGTATAAGAGCAGGCATCATAATTAATGAAAGTCAATTGCAATAAAGTATAAACCATTATGTTCAATACAACGAAAGAAAATGCCAGAAAGGATAACAGAGTTTACTATTTGGCTCAGCCGAAAATCAGGTGGTGTATCAAGTTCTAGGTTTGTTGGATCAAAGACCAAAGCTTGGCACGCCTCCAAATCCTTCTTTAAATTCTCTGGTCCTAAGTGAGCATAATCAGCAAGACGGGGCTTGGCTTTTAGTTCTTTATCAGTTTCATTTCCATCCCTGTTGGGAGACTGGCTCTGCAGAAGCTCATCACACAAAGACAGCCCTTCCACAAGCTGTTGCGAGTCTAACAGATACTGAGACTCACTGTCCCACCATTTTGGGTCATCCTCAATGACCTGATTCTCATTATTCTCTACTACTTGGTCAGCATGATTTTCTGCAGGGAGGTGATCTTGATGATTAGGCATCTCAAGTGCAGCTTCCACCTCTTCTTTCATGTAACCACCCATTTCATGATGCTAAGTAGAAAAAGAGAAACATGTCAGTGTCATCCCTTCAGGGACATCCGATAAAATTGCAATGAAACATGTCACTGTCTATTGTCGCATGAGCAGCTGTGACAAGGAAGGATATCAAATTCTCCGAAACTATCTTGATCCTTGGAAATTTACAACGTTAGCATCTCATTATTTTCATTAGTTTTCTGGCTCATTGACTCACTATACATTTCATCACAGGGCTACTTGAAATGAAGTTGGTAATTGGGCCCCATGAACCGGAGAAAATTGGCACTTTTAAGTCACCTCATTCAACACTAGTGTAAACACACCTCCCTTCTTTTTACAAAGGAATAACCAAACAATCCTTGAGTAAAGTTTACCACATAAACTTCCCTCGGCAGACAATAGGGGTGAAAAAGCCAAAAAAATAAAGAGTTTGCAGATAATAGTTGTGAAAAGCAAAAGGGCATGTGTAGTCAGCACAAAGAGAGAAGTTCATTTTACCTGAGCCAATTGACCAATGTAAGAAGTGGACTCCTGTACCAGGTCAAAATCAGAAAATCGCCTTTCATTATGAGGGGGTTCAGGAGTCACAGACTTGGGAGTGATTGGGTCTACTTTTGCAATTGTTTCATTGTCTTCAGGAATATCATCTTCACTTTTTTCACTCTGCTTGACTTGCTTTTGCTTATAAAACACCTTGGAAGTGACGTTTATCCTCCCTCTTTTTCATCTTCCCC